GCCAGCATGAGTTTTAGGCCACTGGGTCGTGGATGCGAACCGCGGTCGCCTACGTGGGAGTCCAGTGACATAGCCATTACGCTAACTGCTGGTTCCCCCCACACACCCTATTTAGCAAAAATCTCTTTAAAAATGCAGTGAGGACCAGCTGATTTTGTGGGTAAGGCAGCTCGATCTGACATGGCTGACTGTATGATTCAAGTCCTGGACCTAGTGGCTTGAAAAACACACCAGACATATGTATGTCTGTGCCCAAAATCCCAAGAGGAGAATGGAGAAAAAGGGATTGTGGTGTGGCTATTTCCCCTGGTGGGGTGCTTTCACTTTCCTATTCTGGCAAGTGCAGTGCCCTATAGCAAATTAGTAGAAATTAAATTTTTTTTAAATACAAAGGGCAGTAATCACCAGGATACCATATATAGTCATGTGCTTCATAACAGTATCTTTTGTTCATTGATGGACCACATACACGACAGTGCTCTTAGGAGAATACAGGCTATCCCATATAGCCTAGGTGTACAGTAGATTATACCATCTAGGTTTATGTAAATACACTCTGTGATGTTTATTACATCATGATGAAATTGCCTAACAGCACATTTCTCAGAACATGTCTACATCATTAAGTGATGCATGACTGTATATAAAAAAAAAATACTTTATTTTGTGGGCTGGATAGTGGTGAAGTGGTAAAAATGCAACACGGCAAGGCTAACTCATATGGGAAGGTACCTCCTTGAGTGTGCTAAGTACTCATGTGCCCACGACTCAGGGCTGAGGCTGGGGGGTGTATCACAGCATCAAGACTCTATTGGAGTTGCTATTTCTCTCTCTCTCTCTCTCTCTCACACACACACACACACACACACACACACACTCTCTCTCTCTCATGGGAGAAATAAGTAAACTTTAATAAGTTTTTCAGGCTGGCCCTGTAGTCTAGTGGTTAATGGAGCCAGATCTCACACAGCAGATCATGGCTTTAATCCTGGCCTGGAGGCTTGAGAAACATGCTTGGGTATGTGTGCATGCAAACTTCAAACACCAACAGGATGGGGAAATGGAGGAGAAGGGATTACAGTATAACTGTGCCCCACTGGGGAAGAAGGCTTTCTCCATCTCTCTGGCAAACTCAAGGCCCTCTAGCAAATATAAAAAAATACTTTGGGGCCAGTTGCTGATGTGGTGGTTAAAGTGGCTGAATCCTACATGGGCAACTGTGTAGTTTGAGTCCCAAACCTAGAAGCTTGAAAAACAGGTGCAAGATGTGTATGTGCAGGTGCTCAAAATCCTGAAAGGGATGGAGGGGAAGAGATTGCGACACAACCATCCCCTATGAGGCGTGCTTTCTCACTTTCCCTCTCTTTCTTTCTGTCTCTCAGGAGTACATGTACTCTCTGGCAAAAATTTAAAAGGTGAGAAAGAGGACTAGCAGGTGGCATATAGATTAAGGTGACTGAATTTTCACATGGCCATTTCCAAGGTTTGAGTCCCAACCTCGTGGCTTGAAAATTAAGCTGTGTGCATGTGCATGTGTGCCCAAAATCCCAAGAGGAAATCGGAGGAGAGGGGATTGCAGTGTGGTCATCTCTCTTGGGGGGTGATTTCTCATTCCCCCCTCTCTCACACGCCCTATAGCAAAAAAATAAAAAATAAAAAAGGTAGGAAAAGCATTTTGTTTCATTTTAGAGCCGGTTGAACTTAGGCAGTGGATAGAACTTCTTTTTATTTTGTATATATATATATTTTGTACTACAATTTAAAAATCTTATTTTTAAATCCAGGGGCTGTCCGGTCTTATCCACTGGAACTTAATTTGACAGATTCAGAAAAAAACATTTGCCTTTATGCGAAATGGCAGATGAACTTCACAATAGTCTATGAAACTACAAACAATACTACTGTAAGTACATGTTTTAATTTTTCTTTGACTTTTATAAGAGGAATTTAATTCTCTTTTTGAAAATCCTTTAGATACATGTATGTAAATAAGATTTCGTGTCAAATGACTTAACACTTAAAGTGGTTTTTTTAAAGTATATATACTTGAAAGTATTCTGTTTAGAGTTGGAATGAATATTTCTTTTAATTCATTGCTTCTTTGTAGTTTTTCTTAGTGTTGGTTAAGGGCCAGTGATCTAAAGACTATATTGTGTTGGGCCTGACTACTTCCATAATGTGTTTAAAATGTGCTAACATCAAACCTTACCCTGTTCCCTTTTTTTGGGGGGCGGGGGGGGGGGGCGGGGGGACCTACCTGAGGACCAGCAGATGGCATAATGGTCACATCACTGGACTCCCACATGGCTGACTGTGGTTTGTGTCCCAGGCCCAGAAGCTTGATACACTGGGCACATGGTGTTTGCCCAAAACCTCAAGAGGAGAATGGAGGAGAAGGGATTGTGATGTGGTCATCCCCTCTAGGGGGTGATTTTTCACTTTCTGTCTCCCTGTTTCTCTCTCTCTCAGGCGAGTGTATGCACCCTATATCAAAAATTTCTCCAAAATGAAATAAAGTGCTTCTTACTTAAAACCTAATTTAAAAATTTTTTTTTGGAGAGGTTTTTGGTTATTTGTTTTTATGTTGTTGTTGTTTGTTTGTTTGTTTTGCTATAGGGCATGTGCGCTCACCAGAAAGACAGAGAGAGAGACAGAAAGTGAGAAATCACCTCCCAGGGAGGTTGGCCATGCCACAGTCCCTTCTCCTCCATTCTCCTCTCAGGATCTTGGGCACGTACACACACGTACCTGGCATGAGTTTAAGCCACTGGGTCCAGGACTCGAACCGTGGTTGAATACATGGGAGTCCAGTGACATAGCCATTACGCTAACTCCTGCTCCCAAACTTGAATTTATAAAGAGAGATTTTTGCTATAGGGTGTGTGCACTAACCAGAGAGACAGTGTGAGTTTCAAGTCACCAGGTTGGGACTCAAACCTCTGTGGACTATGTGGAAGTCCAGCTACATAACCATTATGTCATCTTTTGATCCTGTCAACCTAATTTTTTGAAAGAGCAGTTTAAGAATGTGTTGTGACCTGCACAGCTGAACACATGTTCTGGTGGGAGTAGCTGTGGATTAGAAATAAACATAAAAATAAACACACAAAGACACACAAGTAGAGAAAAGCACGGGATTCTGTGGTCCAGACTCCTCTGATGGAGGCAACTTTTGCCCTAGCCTTTTCCCAGGTTTATTCTTTTAAAGGGCAGAAAACGGGAGAAGGGGAAGGGGAATGCAAAGCCAGCTGTTTTCAGATGTTAATCAGCTGAAACTGTGAACACCTCTGACACCTTGTAGTCCTATGCTTGTTGGCTTTTTCTGGTTAACATATGACTTCCTTTAAGCCATACTGCCTTGAAGTTTTCCACACAGAGGCAGAACACGTATTCATCTGTTAATGGTTTTTTACTAGCTGTGCATGGACAGCCCAAAGAACCGTGTTTAGGCCTATGTTTAAAGGTCGCCATTGTGTTGGTCAAATCTGACTGCTCCCTACAAGAATGCAGTTTTCAAACAACAGTTTAGGCCAGTTTTCCTTTCTTTTTAGACCCACGTGAATTTGTCCAGGGGACTGGTATGTAGCTGAAGAATCTGAGACTGCTTTATACCACAAACCAGGCCAAGGGCAACTTGACCTTGGAGAGTATGTGACTTAGGCTGAAGTGGTATACCTGCATTAATGCTTGGTGCTCATTGCTGCTGGTTTGTTCCTCACCCCAAACCCTTTTTTTTTTTTTCTCATAGAAAACTGTATCCATTTCGGATCTTCGCCCTGTGACATATGATGGAAGCATTTGTGGGAACGACCAGAATGGTACCAAAATAGCAGTGCAGTTTAGATCTGGTTTTTCTTGGACTGTCAGTTTTACCAAAGAGGCTTCTACTTACTCAATTGGTAGCATCTTATTTTCCTACAACATGAGTGATAGCACAACATTTCCTGATGCGAAAGAGAAAGGTAACCTTCAAAATTGGATTTGTGTTATGTTCTCTTGCTTTTTATTAGTAATAAAAAATGTAAACAGCTTAAAAATCATCATTTTGTACATCTGTCTTCCTAACCAGAGTGGAGACTTAATGTCTTTGTGTCCTCCACTGCCCCAACCCCATGCAGAACACTGTGTTCAATGCAGTGATGACATTTGTTGTCACTACTTGAGTGCTTTACTCTGTATAAACTTACCCTGAGTGTATTATTGGCAGCATCTCACTTAACCCTTAACAGCAACTCTGGGAAGTAGTTACTATCTCAGTTTTATAGTAAAGAGTGTGAGGCTTGATGATTAAATGATTTTCCTGAAGGTCACACAGTTTAGTAACTGGGTGAGTTATTCTTTGAATCAAAGTCTGTTGAGCTATAGAATTAATATATTAGGGGTTGGGGCCTGGAGGTGGTGTGGCAGTTTAGGCATTGGACTCCCACAAAGCCAACCATGGTTCGAGTCCTGGACCTGGTGGCTTGCTTTCTTGTTCCCCCTCCATCTCTGTCTCTGTCTCTCTCTGGTGAGTTCACATGCCCAGTAGCAATTTAAAAATAATAAGAAGAAATAAATTACTTTAAAGAATTGTTTTATTTAACTGTACTTGTTATTTATTTATTTTATTTATTTTAATTTGACAGGGACAGAGAGAGAGAGAAAGTGAGAAAGCATGCCGCCAGGTCCGAGACTTGAACCATGGTCAGCCATGCGGGAGTCCAGTGCTCCTAACCACCATGCTACCTGCTGGCTCCTCAATAAATTACTTTAAAAAATATGTTAGGGGGTCTTCAAAAAGTTCCTAGGAGATATATATTGTGGAAAAACTATGCATGGATGATGATGATGATGATTTGCACCAAAATGGACTACTTTAACTCCACTTTTTTTCATGAACTTTATAAAAAAAAATTCTATAGGGTGTATACACTTACTGGAAAGAGACAGAGAGACAGAGAGAAAGTGAGAAAGCATCCCCCCAGGAAGGTGGCCATGCCACAGTCTTTTCTCTTCCATTCTCCTCTCGGGATTTTGGGCATGCCTGAACATGCACCTAGCATGTTTTTCAAGCTGCTGGGTCTAGGACTCAAACCATGTAATTGGCCATGTGGTATCCAGTTACCTTAACTACCATACCACTGAATGGCCCATTTTTACTAATCTTGCTTTTAGTTTAGAGGAGAAGTAAAGTAAGTGGTTATTAGCTATCTTATTTATGAGGGACTTCAAAAAGTTAATAGAAAAATGGAATCAAAATCCAAGTTTATTTTGGTGTGTAAACAGTTTTCAAATCCATGTGTAATTTTCCTGTAATATACATTTTTCCATTAACCTTTGAAGACCCTACATATTCATCTTTGTGCCCTACATGGTCTCTTAGAACTATTGTGAGATTTGCCTCTCACTTTCAAGAAGCTTAAAAACTAGTTGCAGAAGACTAAGCAAAATTGTACTCTCAAGGTATATGAAAAAATTGAAAAACATGGTACAAAGTCTGATTTTTCTTGTTTGTGTTTTTGTTTGAAGAAGGGTTGGAGGGTTCTTAAGTCTTTTCTGACAATGTAAGGAGACCTCTAGACCTTCTCTCATAAAAAAAGTACAGAGTGGAATTTGCACATGATATATGGTTCCTGAATCCACCTGTGACTCCTGTTGTTAAGGGTGCCCCCATTTAAAAGTGTTCTCACAAGTGGCTTTGATTAGGAGCAGAGAGAAAGGAGAGGCCAGTGTGGATTGGAGGAGTGAGAAAGCTTAGGAGAGAAGTGTGGGGACCTGAGCTGAAACTAGGCTGAGGGGAGAATTTGAGTTAGCTGAAGATTTTGAGCAGGACATTTCCAGCAGGGGGAAGCATAGAGTGCAGTAGTAATTGGAAAGTTGCCTGATTAAAATAGAGACTGTGTGTAGCAGAGGAGAATGACTGAAGTGAAATAGACGAGCCTGAGAAGCCAAGGGAAGGCATTTCGCTTGATGAGGTAGGCGCTGGAGAACCATTTTAGGTTTCTTAAGCAGGAGAGTGATACAGCAATAGCTGAAACAGTAGTTTACAAAGAATGCTTTGCAGGATTAATTTGGAAGTGAGGAGAATACAGGCGGAGATGCCAGTTTAAGAGCCTGTGATAGTCATCAAGGGATGCCGTAGTAAATGCCCAGGTCAAGGAGTCAACACTAAGAGGAAGAAGGGTTTAATGTGACATATTGGGATTGAAAACTTATGTAATCTAAAATGTTAATACTTCTCTCTCCCTCCTTTTATTTTAAACAAATGATGGGTTACTTTTCCTGTTTCTTACAGGGTGAGTATCCCTTTTCTGAAATGCTTGGGACCGGAAGTGTTTTGGATTTTGGATTTTTTTTTTAATTTGCACATACATAATGAGATATCTTGGTGATGGGACCCAAGTCTAAACTTGAAATTCTCTTATATTTCATGTATACCTATACACATAGCCTAAAGTTGATTTTATACAGTGTTTTTGTATTGCAGTGGTTTTTTGTTTCTTTGTTTCTTTGTTTTAATTTCATGAGAGCTAGAGAGAGACAGACAGACAGGAACAGGAACCCTTGAAAGGATCTGTATTTTGCAATGTTCACCCTCCAGCCCTGCAGCCAGTCAGAATCTCTGGTGCACCAGGTGTATTGAGGTAGACCCCAGGATGTGAACCTGGAGCCCTCCCATATGGGGCATTGTGCAGCAGTGATCCAACTGCCTGTGCCACCATGGCTAGGACTGTTTTGCAGTGTTTTGACTCTGATCTGTCACATGAGGTCAGATGTGGAATTTTCCACTTGCAACATCATGTTGGTGTTCAAACATTTTGGGTTTTGGAGCATTTTGGATTTGGGATTCTCAGGTTAGAGATGTTCTACCTGTACTAATTTTATGATATTTGGAATCATTTGGAATTTAAAATTGCTTCATTAAATGGACCATTGATGATTGTTTTAGAGAGATTTTTGCTATAGGGCATGTGCACTCGCCAGAGAGAAAGAGAGAGGCAAAAAGTGAGGAATAACACCCCCCCCCATTCTCCTCTTGTCATTTTGGGCATGCTCACACACACAGCTAGCATGAGTTTCAAGCTGCTGAGTTTGAGATTCGAATCACAGTTGGTCATGTGGGAGTCCAACAACGTAACCATTCCGCCAACGAGTGTTTTGGTTTTTTTTTTTTTTTTTTTTTTTGGGGAGGTTTTCCTATAGGGCTCGTGGCCGCTTTCGCTATAGGGCTCGTGCACTCGCCAGACAGACAGAAAGAGACATAGAGACAGAAAGCGAGAAATCACCTCCCAGGGGGCATGGCCACGCTGCAATCCCTTCTCCTCCATTCTCCTCTCGGGATCTTGGGCACGCACGCACACGTGCCCGGCGTGAGTTTTAAGCCACCGGGTCCGGGACTTGAACCACGGTCGACTACGTGGGAGTCCAGCGACATAGCCATTACACTAACTGCTGGTTCCCCCAATGAGTGTTTTTGAAGTAATTTTGTATTTGAAAATATAAATTTATTTGTAGGCATCCAATAATAGGAGTAAATTTTTAGCTACTGTTTCTAACAACTTTTTTATTGTTAAAATACAGAAAAGTAGAGAGAATACCGTAGTAAACCTACATGTACCTAGAATTAATAGGTGCCATTTAAAATGATTACTTCATCATTTTATTTGATTTTTATTTGATTTTCAGGCCACTGGATCTGGGACTCAACCATATTTGGCTGTGTGGGAGTCCAGTGCCTTAACCACTACATCACCTGGTAGTCCCAATCTGTGACTTATCTTATCACTCATTTGATTTTGAGATCTCCCTGTACATAGCCAGTTCAATCTATTCATTTTTTAAGTTTATTTGTTTAATTTTTCCCAGAGAGAGAGAGAGAGATAGTACCCCATAAGGATATAACAGTGTCCTCATGCTATGATCCTCCTCCAGTATCAGCTGACCTGAGTAATGGGCACATGTACTTACCAACTGTGCTCTGGGAGGTCTGGGAGTTCTTGGGATGTGAACGTAGGACCTTTCCCATGTGGGTCCAACTGTGCCATCACCTGCCCCTCCTTTTCCTTTTTCTTTTTTTTTTTTTTTATTTTGGAGAGAGGATTTTTGCTATAGGGCACATCTGCTAGCGAGAAAGGCAGAGAGACAGAAAGCGAGAAATCACCCCCTGGGGGGATGGCCATGCTGCAGTCCCTTCTCCTCCATTCTCCTCTCGGAATCTTGGGCACGCACGCACATGTGCCTGGCGTGAGTTTAAGCCACCAGGTCCGAGACTCCAAACATGTTCAACTACATGGGAGTCCAGCAACATAGCCATTATGCTAACTGCTGGTCCTGCCCCTCCTTTTTTAATTGCCAAAGGGTGCTTGCACTTGTCAGAGACAGACAAGCAGGGGCCGGGAGAGAGCACCTCTCAGTGGGGCATGGTTATGCCGCAATCCCATCTCCATCCTGTTGGGATTTGGGGCGTATATACGCCCCTTGAAAAACATCCTTGAAAAACAGGATGTTTTTCCAGCCTCCGGGGCCTAGATTCAAACCATGATTGGCCATGTGGGACCTAGCTCCCTTAACCACTAGGCTGTAGGCTGGCCTTTGTCTCTTTTAGAAAGTATTTATTCATGTATTTTTTCCATCAGAGACAAAGACAGATAAAGTATTCCTTTTTGTTAATGGTAAGAAACAGTTTTAGGAAAGATGTTCTACTGGTAGTTTATTTTTTAAAAATGCATTTGACCATTAGGGGGTGCCAAGGCAGCATTAAATGATTGCCTTTCTCCATGACTGAGAGGCATAGAAGGCCGCCCTATGTTAAGGACCTTGAATACCTTCTTTTCTTGCTCTTTCTCTAAACAAGACTAAACCACTTAGTGGATAAGTGTGATCATAGTGTTTTGACATTTCATCAAACGAATCTTAATAATTCTGTATGGAATGCCTGCAATGTATTACTTTCATCTTCTGAAGATCTCCTGAAATGGAATAATAGTCTTTGAATTCTATCCAGGAAGAAGTTCCATAAGCTTATTAGAGTTCATGGAACTTTCTTTGGGATAGTAGCACAAAAATGAGGATTTGCCCTAAAAATCTGTGACTAATCCTTCTTGCTTTCTTCCTTATTTACAGTCACTAAGCCCTCTGAGTTCTACCTTAGTTATGTATCTTTTCTCTCTTCTTACTGCCTCTCCCCATCTTAGTTTAGATAACCTCCCCTTACCTTTCACCTAGACCAGGCCATTGGCCTTCTAACTGATTTCCCTCTTAAAAAGCTTCCCTTAAAAATTCTATCCCCTTCCTGCCCTCTACAGAGTTGCTATCCTTCTCAAAATAAATTAGGTGTGTGGTATTTTTTGCTTTAAAAAACAGAAGCTATTGGACCAGCAGATCGCATAGCAGTTACATTACTAGACCCCCCACTTGGCCAGCTGTGGTTCAAGTCCTGGACCCTATGACTTCAAAATCACGCTGGGCTTGTGTGTACATGTGCCCAAGATCCCTGGAGGAGAATGGAGGAAAAGAGATTGTGGCATGGCCATCCCCCTGGGGGGTTGTTTCTCACTTTCCCTCTCACTGTCTGTTTCTGTCTGTCTCTAGTGAGTGCACATGCCCTAAGGCAAAAACCTGTTAAAACGAAACAAAACAAAACAATCAATCAAAACCAGAAGCTAGCCCTCCATTGCTAAAGAACACTTACATTATCCTTAGATCATAGAAGGTGCTTCAAAGTGTGCTGGCCTCCCACCAGTCACCTTTCCTTCTTAATCCCCATTACTGCTTCCCTCTCACTTCCTGTGTTTCAGCCATAGTGAATTTATCATTCTCTTGAATGTCCTGTATCCTTTGTCACTTTGGGCATGGGATAGGGCAAAGGGAAACCTATACAAATACGTTTATATTTTCACTTTTCTCCTATCTTCTTGCTAACAGTCATTGTTACTCTTGTTTTATAGGAATTGTTACTGTTAATGACTCTGTGGCAATCAAAATTCCATTAGATGATATTTTCAGATGCAACAGTTTATCGGTTTTAAAAGAGAATAATGTTCTCCAATACTTTTGGGATGTTCATATACAACCTTTTGTCCAAAATGGCACAGTGAGCACAAAAGGTAAGTTGTGTGTGTGTGTGTGTGTGTGTGTGTGTGTGTTTCTATATTTGAGTCCTAATTTAGGATTACAGTATACCAGGTAGATTTCATTGAAGTTGTTAACTTGAAAGTGTTTATATATTAAAGCTTATTCATTGCTTCCTCTAGACTGTGAAGTTTTTTTCAATAATGACACTTATTCCTCTTGTGGAACTTTGAATTCAAAATGTATGGTTTACATGTTATGAAGTAAATGTTTATTTATTTATATTTATTTTTAAAGATTTTGGATATAGGACATGCGAGCTTTCTAGACTGAGGAGGAGGGAGTGAGAAAGCACCCCTTGGGGCAGGGGGAGGGGCAGTGGTGGCAGCGTCACAGTCCCTTTCCTGCCTTTCTCCTCTCAGGATTTTGGGCATGCACACACATTCACCCAGCATGTTTTTTAAGCCACCAGTTCCGAGATTTGAACTGTGCAGCCAGCCATGTGGGTTCTAGCCACTTTAACCACCACACTACCTGCTGTCCCTTTGAAATGATATTTTTTCTTTCTTTCTTTCTTTTTTTGGAGAGGTTTTTGCTATAGGGTGTGTGCACTTGCCAGAAAGACAGAGACAGACAGAGAGACAGAAAGCAAGAAATCACACCCCCCCCCAGGGGGAATGGTCATACCGCAGTCTCCATTCTCCTCTCGGAATCTTGGGCACACAGGCACACATGCCTGGCGTGAGTTTAAGCCACCGGGTCTGGGACTCGAACCGCGGTTCACTACATGGGAGTCCAGTGACATAGCCATTATGCTAACTGCTGGTCCCTTTCTTTCTTTCTTTTTTTTTTTTAAATTATCTTTTAAAAGGCTCTACTTAACAGTGTTTTCAGCTGATAAAACCTAATCTTTGAACAGATCCTAAAATAGCTTGATCATTAGCTCTTTAGTAGTTCTAACCAGAGCTTAGAAATTAGATTTTTGTGGTCTATTCCTGAATTCTTCAAGTAGATATTATAACTTTTTTTGAATATGCTTTATGGAAATGTTACAATATAATTTCTCATTCACCAGTTCTGGAAAACCACTAACACTTCCTAAGAAGAGACTGAGATATCTGTGATTTACTGCCAGGGATAACACGAATAAAAGGTTCATTTGTATTTAAATCCTTTAATGATTTCTTTTTTTTTTTTTTTTTTAACTTCTGAGAGATTTTTACTATAGGGCATGTGCCAGGCAGAAAGAGAGAGAAAGTGAGAAATCACCCCCCCACGAGTGATGGCCATGCTACAATCCCTTCTCCTCCATTCTCCTCTCAGGAAACTGGGCATGCACGCACATGCACCCAGCGTGAGTTTAAGCTACCAAGTCTGGGACTCGAACTGTGGCCAACAACATGGGAGTCCAGTGACATAGCCATTAGGCTAACTGCTGGTCCCTAAATCCTTTAATGACTTCTAAACTTTTGTCTTAGTAAATAGTATCCTTCCTTAAAGGGGTTATACCCAGGAACAAAGAGGCAGGCTAGGTAAGGGTGAAATGTTTCTTTCTTTTTTTTTTTTTGAGAAGCATTTTTTTCTATACGGTGTGTGTGTTTGCCAGAAAGACAGAGAGAAACAGAGAGACAGAAAGGTGAGAAATCACTCCCCTAGGGTGGATGGCCATACTGCAATCCCTTCTCCTCCCGGGATCTTGGGCACACACGCACACGTGCCTGGCATGAGTTTAAGTCACTGGGTCCAGGACTCAAACCACGGTCAACTATGTGGGAGTCCAGTGACATAGCCGTTATGCTAACTGCTGGTCCCGAGGGGCTGAAATGTTTTCAAACTTAGATCTCTGAATTTCATGCCAGTGACAGGTGAAGTTCTTTGAGAGTAAAGGGATTTAAGAGCCTGTAAAAGTAAAAGATGAATGTGCATCCAGCCACGTGTGAGTAAAGCATTCAGATGTGTCCTGAGCTTGCGTGTGTGTGAAGCAGCACTTTGGAATCACCTGTCCCATTTCCTTTAAACTAAGACTAACAAAGTCTTCTCTTCCTCTAATAGAACCCTCTTGGACTTCTAGTGGGAGAAAAAACATGTTCTTCTCTGGCCTGATAAATTAAGAAAAAGTCCGCTTAATTTATTTTGTCCTATTTTGTTTGCTTGCTTGTTTTAGAGTTTGTATGTGATGAAGACAAAACTCCAACAACACTGGCACCCATCATTCATACCACTGCGCCATCTCCTACTACAACACCCGCTGCAAAGGAAAAACCAGAGGTCGGGAACTACTCGGTTAATAACGGCAATGGTACTTGTCTGCTGGCTAGCATGGGGCTGCAGCTGAACATCACTCAGGATAAGGTAGGGTTGTCTATTTTGATTTTTGTAATTTGCCAGAGGGCATTGCACTCACAGGAGATGGAGGGTTAGATGGGGGCATGGCAGGGGAAGAGAAAGAGAAGGAATGTGAGAAAGCACCATTCCCGTGGGGGATGTTCTTGCTGCAATCCCTTCTCCGCCATTTCTCCCTTCTTTTCAGGGTTTTGGGTTTTGACACATGCCTGGCATGTCTTTTAATGCTGCTGGGTCCAGGCCTTGAACCATTCAGTTCAAGTGGGATCCAGCCACCTTGACCACCATGCCATCAACTGGCCCTGTCCATTTTTATTGATCTTTTTTTTTTTTAAGTTCTTTTGTAAGAGAGACAGACATACACATAGACAGGGACACCTGATAGGGTCTTGCCCACACCTTGATCTTATTTCCTCCCACCAGCCTTCCAGCCATCCAGGATCATAGGCATGCCCAGTGTGTTCATGTCCACCCAGGTTCTGAACTCCAGGTCCTTCCCCTATGGCTTCAGTATCATGCAGCTGTACCCTACCAACTGCCACCATGGCTGGGCTGATACACCCTTTTTTTTTTTTCCTTTTAAATACTGTGTGTCCTATGTTCAGTTCCAAGAGTACTGTTCCAGAATGATTCCTTTGAGATCTGATATTAACTTGTCGAGTTCAGATTAGTTTGGAGTTACTCTAACTATAAAGGGCTAACGTTGCTTTCAAAGCACTGTCTTGGCCAGGAGAAAAACCTGGTAGTTTAAAAGACTCTGCAGTTTGCATTATAGTCACCACCAGCAGCACAAACAGTTGAGCTTTACTTCAGTCAGTTTAAAATATAACTCTCTCACACTTTCGTGTGAAACCCACTGTAGGTTGGTGTAGGGGAAGAGTGCAGCTGTTTCTCCAGCTACTTGATGGCTCAGCTTGTATAGCTCTGCCCAAGTACATTGTGACACTTCTAGTTGCAGTGTTCCACGGAGGCTACAGAGGGAGTGCCAGTGGACAAATCCCATTCCCAGGATCCTGTGATTTAAACAAGCTAGACAGATGGCTCTTGCTCGCCATAAAAACGTGTGTTTTCATTTGGCTCATTACTGAAGAAGCTTCCTTTTTTCTTTTTTTTAAGTCGCTTGAGTCATAGCTTGAGGGCCTCTGCCAATTTTGTTTGAAAGTATCAAGCAGAATTCTGAATTTAACTATCCAAAGGATTTTTTTGTTTTACACTGAAGTTGGTCTTGATCTTATTAGAGCATAAGACTTTTGCTGTCAACTTCTATAGTTAATCTCTACCATTTTTTCCTCTCCTCCCCCTGAAGGTTGCTTCGGTTATCAACATCAACCCCAATACAACTGACTTCACTGGCAACTGCCACACTGAAACCGCACTACTGAGGCTGAATAGTAGCACCATTAGATATCTTGACTTTGTCTTTGCTGTGGTGAGTAACAGATTTTTCCGAAGTTAAGTTCATCCTATTAGAAGCACACCTGAGTGATCAGCAGTTTGCATAATGGCTATGTCACTGGACTCCCATGTAGTTAAATGTGGTTCAAGTCCCAGACCCGGTGGCTTAAACTCACGCCGGGCACGTGTGCCTGTGTGCCCAAGATCCCTAGAGGAGAATGGAGGAGAAGGGATTGCGGCGTGGCCATCCCCCCTGGAGGGTGATTTCTCGCTTTCTGTCTCTCTGTCTCTCTCTGTCTGTCTGGCGAGCGCACGCACCCTATAGCAAAAACCGCTTAAAAAAAAAAGAAGCACACCTGAAAGTCTAAATTGTGTATGTGTGTGTGTGTGGTAAGATATTTAGCTTTGTTTCCCCTTACAACACTGCATCATTCTCATATATAGTTCACTGAGCCCTGTTCCTTCTCAGAGTCTGTGTGCTGGTCTGTGGGATGGACTCTTGTATTAGTGTTCACTATGAGTGGCCATTCTGCCATGACATAGATTCTAGGATGGGTGCAAGAATTAACTCACATTAAAAAAAAAATCTAATCTCTCCATCCATATGTAAGTAATTTCTATGAGAGTTCTTTATTATTGATTAGACAACTCTCATGTTTGTCATATATCATTTCTTAAGGTTTGTTTTTTTTTTTCCTTTCATGAGACAGAGGGAGAGAGAGGCACGTACCCTTCAACAAGGTCTCATGCCAAGATCCTTGCTCAGCCTTTCCCTGCCAGCTGGGATCATGTGCACGTACCTGGCATGTACAGATTGATCTGTGAACTGAGCCTGTGATTTTCCGTATAGCTTCTAGCAGCACAGAGCATTGTGTTACTACTGCACTGCTGCAGCTGGCCCATGTCTATTAGAATATTTCAAGCCTCTGGGAGGCTGAACTGTTTGTACTAATGCCAATAATAATAATTAATGCTTAGTAAGTACTTATTGTGTATAAAACTCTGTGTAAATACATATACGAACTCATATATGTGTTTTAAAATAGTTTGTGGGACCAGCGGATGGTGTAAAGGTTATGTCACTGGACTGCTGTGTAGTTGTCCGCAGTTCAAGTCCTCGACCCGGTGGCTTAAAACTCAGGCCGGTGTGCGTGCAAGCCCAGAGTCCTGAGAGGATAATGGAGGAGGAGGGATTGCAGTGTTGCCATCCCCCCGGGAGGTGATGGTGATTTCTTGCTTTATGTGTGTGTGTGTGTGTGTGTGTGTGTGTGTGTGTGTGTGTGTAGTGAATGCACACGCCCTATAACAAAAATCTCTCAAAAAATAAATCAAAATAGTTTGTAATGGCAACATTCAGGTTTTCATTGTGCTTGCATCAAGAGCTGAACCCTAAATAGGATTCTGGTTAAGTGTTCTCTTTCTTGCTAGTGTGAATTAATCATTGGGAATTGTAGTTTCCATCTTTTCAGAAATAATTATTATCCCCATAATTGTTTGGTGAGAGATGTATGTGTACACATGTTGTGGCAAATGGGTACTTATAGATGAGGGCAAATGTTGAACCACCCCTAGTTCTCAAAGTAAGAGCTGTTGTGTAATTGGATATAAACTGGTTCTGCCTTTAAATCAGGTTACCCTATTTAGGGACAGAGAAAGCATTTCAAAATCTGACATGTATAAAAAGTAGGTTTATTCTTTTTTTATTACTTTTTGAAAATTTAAATTTAATCACTGTGTATGTTTATAGCATACAACATTGTTTTTCCCAGCACGGATACCGTGCATATCAGTCAAGTCAACTGTATTACCACATAGTTTATCACCAACAGATATCTTTTCATTTTGTGTTTTTGGAGAGGTTTTTGCTATAGGCCATGTGCGCTCGCCAGAAAGACAGAGAGAGATAGAGAGACAGAAGGAGAAAAATCACCCCCCAGGAGGGATGGCCATGCCGCAATCCCTTCTCCTCCATTCTCCTCTCGGGATCTTGGGCAAGCACGCACACATGCCCGGCGTGAGTTTAAGCCACCGGGTCCAGGACTCAAACTGCGGTTGACTACATGGGAGTCCACCGACATAGCCATTATGCCAACTGCTGGTCCTGATACCTTTTTATTTTTGTGTCTGCTAAATGCTTCTCTTTTTTTCCCTTATCCCCTCTCCCACACCCCTCAATGCTCACCCTTCCTGTACTGTCTCTAGCATCTACAGTTGCCCTCCCAGCTATTATACCTTCCAATCTTTCAGTTTCTGCCGTAGAGTACAGATATTCAGTATATGTGGAGTGAGGTTATACAGTGCCTGTCTTTCATAATCTGGTTTGCTTCACTTAGCATTAAGTCTTCTGTATTCATCTACTTTGTATCAGATGTCAGGGTCTCATTGTTTTTTATGGCTGAGTAGTATTCCATAGAGTATATGTGCCATATTTTTTCAATGCATTCATCTGTTTGTGGACATTTGGGTTGATTCCGTGTCTTAGCAGTGGTGAATAGTACTGCAATAAACATGGTGCAAGTGTTTTTTCGACTGCGGGTTTTCCTATCCTCTGGATAAATACCTAAGAGTAGAGTTACTGAGTTATATGGTACCTCTATTTGTAGGTGTCTGAGGAACCTTCATATCGTTCTCCACTGTGGTTGTACTAATTTACATTCCCACCAGCAGTGTAGGAGGGTTCACTTTTCACTACAACCTTGCCAGCACGTCTCAGTCTTTATTTTTTTAATCTTAGCCCTTTCTGACTCGGGTTAGGTGGTATCTTATTGTGGCTTTTGACTTGCATTTCTCTTATAAGAGATGTTGAACATTTTTTCATATGCCTTTAGATGTTCTAATGTCCTCCTTGGAGAGTGTTTATAGATTATATTCTGTCTAATTGAGGATTACATTTTAGAAAGTTTATAAAAATCTTCCTTTGTGCACCATTGAAATAATTCTTCTGTTACAGTATGTATATGACCAGTGAATTATTATTTCAAATAGCTAATTAAACTTGTCTTCTCCAGTGTGGTATGAGCAGCTTCTCCAGAATAAATAAAAATGATTACTCTGGATTTAAACAATCAAACAAACAAACAAACAAAACCCAGACACATTCTCTTAAAGTCATCTGTCTCATAGAGATTATGGGTAATAAGAATGAGGAAAGTAATATTTTAGGTTCATTATCTTTTGAGTGAGTGAGTTTGATTTTTCTAGCTGTGATAGGCTCCTAAAAAGAACATGGTTTCTTCTGACCCCCATGAAGCAAATGTTTAATATTTAAGAATTACAATATCTAATTTTCCCAGAAGAATTTTAAAATGTAATCCAAAATAGTGACATTTTAACTATGCCACAGGTATTGAGAAATCAAGAAACATCCTCAATGCCATTAGAGTTCAGTGGCGCTTGTAGCACCTTCGGCTTTGTTATGATAGATACTCCTCAGGAGCACTTACAGGATTTGAGTGTGTTATGTACAGTATGCTATGGTGGGATACAAAGAGGAAATCCTATGTCCATAAAGTGCCCACAGTTTAGTGGTAAAGACAGAAATAGACAAATAATTACCATTTTTTAAAGTTTGCTTTAGGGCATGTACTCTCACCAAAGACAGGAGTAGGGAGAGTGAGAAGTCACCCCCCCCCCAGAGGAGAGAGCCATGCTGCAGCCCCTGTTCCTCCACTTTCTTCTTGGGATTCTGGGCATGCACGCACATGCACCTGGTATGATTTTTAAGTTTCCGGGTCTGGAATTATAACTGTGCTGTTGGCCGTGTGGGATCCAATCACTTTAATCTCTGCATCACCTGCTGGCCCCAAATAATTACCCTTAAATATTTTTTAAGAATTATTTATTTATTATTTAATTCCATTCATTATTATATTTTCATTTGACCAGAGAGAGAGAAAGGGAAAGTGAAAAGGCAAGCCACCAGGTCTGGGACTTGAACTGCAGTCAGCCATGTCGGAGTCTAGCACCTCAACCACCATACCACCTGCCAGACACCCATTTTAAATTTTTTAAAAAGTTTTGCTACAGGCTGTGTGCAATTGATGGAGAGAGACACAGAGAGAAATCACTCCCAGAGGGGTGGACATGCTGCAGTCTCTTCTCCATTTCCCTCTCAGGATTTTTGGCATGCATGCACATATGCCTGATGTGTTTGTCAAGCCATCAGGTTCAGGACTTGAACTACACAGTCGACCATGTAGGATCCAGCTGCTTTAAACACCATGCAACTGGCTGGCTGCCCCCGGGGGAATGACCACACCGACACCACAATCCCTTCTCCTCCACTCTGCTCTTGGGATTTTGGTCACACACAAACATGCTTCTGGTGTGTTTTTCAAGCCAGTGGGTCTAGGACTCAAACATTTAGATGCCTGTCTGATGAAGTGAGTGAGAAGGAAAGATTAGAACTAGAGGGCCTGAACAGCAGAGACCAGTAAGAGGCTTGTTGTGATCCAGGATAGAGGTGGTGAGGACTTGGCAAGAGATCAGAGAAATAAAATTGAGGGAATGACTCATCAAGCATCTAAGAACCACATGACTACACCTGTGGGCCACGAGATGGGAATGAAATGCAGAGGGAAAGGGTTTCTGTTACATTTTGAGATCTCTTCTACTTCGTGGCAGTTTATTCTACTGGCCCAGGTCTAATCCAGGTTTTCCTCTTCTGTGTTACTAGTGCGGGGCTGCTTTCTTGTGTAGATATTTACTGTACCTGTAGACAGTTGCAATATGTTGATTAACTGGAAGCTCTTTTTCAAACAGAAAAATGAAAACCGATTCTATCTGAAGGAAGTGAACATCAGCATGCGTTTGGTTAATGGCTCAGGTAAGCAAAGTATTGGTCTGGGAAAAGAGTGTGGGTTACACTGAAGGAATGGAAACCATACATACCCTCTCACCAGATCTTATGTAATAGAACAGAAGATAATACTATGTAAAAAATAGATCTTGACCACAACTTACAATCAGTAATTTAGAACTCTGGTGTTCTATCTTTTTGCATATCCCATCTTTTCAAAGTATGGTAGATTATAGTTAAGATATGGCTGATTTTAATACTATAGAAACATCTGGAAAGCAAAAGGAACCTAGTTGATGGTAAAAATTGCTTTCTGTGGATAGACCTTGTCTGCCAAGTTTCCCTACTTCACTGACAAACCCTAAGGATTATTCCATTTTTGATGATTATAGGATAAGAAGTTACTGACCTGTTTCTTTTCTTTACAGTTTTCAGTATTGCAAACAATAATCTTAGCTACTGGGATGCCCCCCTGGGAAGTTCTTACATGTGCAACAAAGAGCAGACGGTTTCAGTGTCTGGAACATTTCAGATAAACACTTTCGATCTAAGGGTTCAGCCTTTCAGTGTGAAAGAAGGAAAGTATTCTACAGGTAAGAATCAAGCAGACTTTATTAATAATTTATATTATTATGTTGGCCAATAGGTGGCTTTTCCTTTGAGTCATGGAAATTTTGACATTGAAATAGAGACATAGGAGTTCACCTCTTGACTCTGTTGGAGAGTTCTCATAGCCTTAAGCAAATTGTGTAACTCTGTATTTGGCTATCATTTTGCTCAAACTTTTTTGTCTATAATCTGAAAACCATTTGCAACAAAGCTCTTACATCTAAAAACTGGTAGAAGCCACGAGCAAACTTTCTTTAAGGTGTAGTGCTTCCCCAAAGTTTTAGTTGAGACAGAGAATGGCACTTAGGAGCATCATGTACCTGCATTCTTGGGGCTTCTTCTAGCTCTAAACATTTTCTTACCTGAACAAAAGCAGTTCTGTCTGATTTTGTTCAGACAAAAGATGAAGAGCAATAACAAAGCCTCAAATACCATAATCTATGTTTTTGCCAACCAAAATGACCTGGAGAGTTTTCAAAGCATGCACCAGTGTAAATGAGGCTTTTTGAAGATCTACTCAGGGCTAATGGTGGTATTTATCAGATTTTTAATGAACCCCTTGTGAAGGGCTCATTATAACGTGTTCATATGAACATGAAAGATATATATTTGGCATTATCAGATTAAAATTTGCATGGATAAAAAACAAGTGCATAAAATTTTTTAATTGACTTGTCCTTTTAAACTGCTTTCTTAAAATTGGGGGTTCATGGATCACAGCTCTGCTGAGCAGAGCTATTCCAGTCCACATCCTGAATTAATTTTAACAATTAATTCTGTGGTTTAGAAGGAAACATAGATGTATGTTTAAACGTTAATATGCCGTGAACATTCAACCCCTTTTACAGTAGTGCTGAGTGCCTGTTCTGGCTTGGTTAGACCAAGATAAATTGGGCTCTTCATCCTACTGTTTTTGGGACTATAGTGGTTAATCACACTTTTAAAATATTTTCAAAAATTCATTTTCCCTTTTGTCAGTTTTACTCATGGACCTTAATTATCTTGATCCTTTAATAGCTTTATTTTTGGAGTCTTTATCTAGCTCCCCTACATTATTACCCTAATTTTAGGTCCAGATTTATGTTTAGAATTTAGGACCATTTGTAGTATTAATATTAGTTCAAGTCTGTTAATCTCTTGGGTCTTTGGAAAAGTCATGATGTATTTTTCTATGTTTTTTTTAAATGCAAAAATGTGTCATGACTTTTCTGATGACCCAGTAGTCAGCTGTAATAGAGAAGAACAGTGCTCTTTCTCTAAAAGTTTGGGTTTTCTGCATATAGAAATAAAAATGTCACCCAAAGGCATATACAACATTTAATACTGATACTCAATGTATGATCTATTTGTGGAACTAGGTTCTTGGCAGTGGGTACCTATAAATAGAACACACAGGTAATACTTGACTATATAGAGGGAGGAAATAGAATTGTGGTAAAGTAGGAGAGTGTTGATTGGATTTTGCCGGATCAGACTATTGTCTATAAATAGAAAAAGAGTCCTTGTAGGCTGTCAGCACCTGATAAGATTGTAAGAAATATAGTAAACACACTCAAATTTCTCAGAGGTCCCAGTTTCTTGACTTTCCTGCAGCCACTAAAATTGTAAATTCTAAGTCAGAAATCGACACACGTACAGGCATTGGAGCCATATGGTCTCTGTCACAACCATTCAACTCTGCTATTACAGCAGGAAACAGCCACAAAAAATACATAAGCAGATGAACGTGAATGTGTTCCAATAAAACTTTATTTATGGGTACCAAAATTTGAATTTTATTTAAGTTTCATATGTCACACACACAAAAAAAAACATTAGGGGCTTTCCTCCAACCATTTAAAAATGTAAAAGTAATTTTTAACTTTTGCACCAGATTTGGCCCATGGGCTCTGTTTGCTGACTCCTACTCTAAAGGAACTCCAGAGCCAGTGTGACTGTCCTGTTCTCATGATACCTTCCTAAGCTGTTGCCAGTTTTCCAAACAACAGTCACTGTACCACTGCAAGGCTAATCTGGCTGTGCATAAATGGGCTAGATCAGTTCTCTTCATTTCTCATAAATTAATACTCCTATTTTGGAAAGGACTTAGACTATAAGCAGACACATGCACGTGTGTGTATATACAAAAGGACTTCAAAAAGTTCATGAAAAATGGAATTAGGGGCCAGCAGATGGCTTAGTGGTTATGTAACTGAGCTCCCATATGACAGTGTGGTTTGAGTCCACAACTCCGTGGCTTGGAACTCACCCTGGGCGCATGTGCATTTGTGCCCAAGATTCCAGGAGGAGAAGGGATTGTGGCATGGCCATCTGCCTGGGGGGGTCATTTCTTACTTTCCCTCTCACTGTCTCTATCTCTCTCCAGTGAGTGTACCCTCCCTAAGGCAAAAAAAAAAAACTCTTAAAAAAAAGAAAAGTGTAATTAAAGTATTCATCTATTTTGGAGGCCAGCAGGTGATGTGGTGGTTAAGGTGCTGGACTTCTGCATAACTGATTGCAGTTTGAGTCTCACACCTGGAGGATTAAAACTCACACTGGGCACATGTGCATACATGTCTAAAATCCTGAGAAGAGAATGGAGGATAAGGGATTGTAGTGTGGCTATCCTCCCTGGGGAGTGATTTCTCACTTTCTGTCTCTCTGTCTCTCTCCGGTCAGTACATGTGCCCTCTAGCAAAAATCTCTTTTTAAAAAAAGTACACATTTATTTTGGTGGAAAAAATTTTGAAAATCATGCATAGTTTCTCTTTCTTTCATTTGTTTTATTCAATTTTAGTTTCTTATTTTTTCTTTCTTTCTCATTTTAATTGCCATATGGCGTATGCACTTGTCGGAGAGAGAGACAGAGACAGAGATGGAGAAAGAGAGGAAGAAGGAAAAATCACTGCCCAATGAGTATGGTCATGCCACAGTCCCTTCTCTATTTCTCCATGCTGTCAGGATTGGGGGCGAATACGCATGTGTGCCTGGTGTATTTTCCCTGTCAGGGCAAGAATTCAAACTGTACTCAGCCATGTGGAATTTGGCTCCCTTAACCTGTAGGTGATGGATTAAGTGTTTTCATAATACACATTTTACATGAACTTTTTGAAGGCTCCTAGTATATATATATGTATTTCTGATAAAGTATATATTTATTCATAGATATACACGAGTAAGCAGATGTAGTCTACTAATATACACATAAACATAAATGAGCAAAAATGTTTTAGGATTTTAAATCTAGAATAGTTCATACTTTTCTATAGTGTTACCATAAAAATAGACCTTAGTTACTTGGAAGTGATCTTAAGAGCATTTCTGACTTTTAAATCAACATCTTTTACTTTCAGACATTTTTTTTTATTATACTCATTATTTGTTACACACTTTTTCTCACCCACAGCCCAGGAGTGTTCGCTGGATGATGACACCATTCTAATACCAATTATAGTTGGTGCTGGTCTTTCAGGCTTGATTATCGTTATAGTGATTGCTTACCTAATTGGCAGAAGAAAAAGTTATGCTGGATATCAGACTCTGTAACACTAATCTCTGTGTGGTCTCTGTTACAAAATAATAAAGCAAGTATAAGTTCCAACAAGCAATACTGTCCCACTTAAGGTATATTTAGTTGCAGTCCTGCTCTTAGAATGGGTAGTATGGGGGATTTTGAGCCTAAACAGAAACACCCCCCAAAAAAACTATCAATATAAACTGTAGATTAGTCACATGCTTTTGGTTTGCCAACCAAGAAATTTAAAACTCTTATTTCCATAGCAAAAGACTTGTGCAAAATCACCTGGATTATAAATTCTATTTTACTGTCTTGAATTACTATTGTACTTCAATATTTTCCCTTCACATATTCTGATAAATATACAGTCTAGGGGAAAAAAAAAACATTTTTAAAGAGAGATTTTTTTTTTTTTCTTGCATGTAGTCAAGCTGGGACGACACATTCTGCAATGGGTTTTGTACTTGCTCCTTTTGCGTTTTTGCAACTTTATTTGCAGGTTAACTTAGCTACTTTGGCTGCATATTTGACCTATGAGAGATACGCTAGTAGATTTGAACAGGACCTCCATAGTGTTATGTTCTTAGCAGTGAATGCTTTTCTAATACTTTTTGAATACTTGGCATTTAATGGGGTGTAAAGACAAAAGATATGAATGCTTTTTAAATTTCAGCATAGGTGTTAATCTTACTATTTAATCCTTTTCAAAACTGGGTATTTCTGTCTTTTAAAATTGCAAGATACAAGGCTATTCTGACTGGGCATTTTAATCCATTGTTTCAGGTGCTTCCGAGATAATTGTTTGGCAGTGCCAATTGAGGGCATTAGTCTTTTGTACCCGTAAATTGGCCTCCACATGTAGTACTAAAAGTAAAACAGAGTTCTCTTTAGCCTTCCAGTTTTCCTGTTGGTGGTAATGTGTTTCATTCTTTTCTTTTTCTTAAAAAAGGAATGCCAGTATGTTCTAGAACCCAGATGAAGAAGTGCACTTACAGTTAGATAATAACTCACACCTAACCCAAAAGTCTTGCGCTTCTCTTAGACCATTCAAACGTTGTTCTTGGTTTCCAACTTGCATTGATTGATCCAACAGTTACTAATTTGGCTTTCACATTTAAACAGTTCTATGTGAATCAAACCTTACATTGTTACTGTTCCTTAAGATAGAATCATCATTCGTTCATTTGCTTTGTATTTAGTTTTGTGCTATGAGAGGTGTACCAGTTGTCCATTCATGGTGTACCACCTCATATGTACACAAGACAGGGAAACATTTCAGCTTCATAGTGAACACATGAAGTAGTTCTTACTGCTTCTAGGTGGTCTTTTTTTTTCCGTATTAGAATGGCTGAATAAATATTTAAAAATTCCTAATTTGCAGCCACATATGGAAGGTTTCTATGTCCCTCACCCCCAACCCCTGACTAGGAATTATGTGCTTCCCATTCACTAGACAGTGAAGAAATACCCAGGCTCCAAAATACTGATATTGAATGCATTACTGTACACACACACACACACACGCACGCGCGCACAGTCACACATATTTAGGAAGTTGCATACTAGCATGTGTATGTCTATAACTGTCTTTCAAGTCATATTAGAGTGATAAGGATTTCGTCTCAATTCAATTTTCTCTCTGTTCAGTCTAAAACCTTATTGGCTCAGAATCAGATTCCTGACTAACCCCTCTCTTAGAGCTATGTTGAGCTGTGTTGCCAGCTTGAAATACTTACTAAGGACTGAATATAAACCTGACTTTGAAAAATTATTTTTCATTTAAACTGGGTTTTAGTATAAGAATGGATAAAACTTAAAAGCATGTGGGTCTTAGATATTTCTCATGCGTCAAAACAAAGCAGCTTTTTAAAAAATAATAAAAGTTGAAAGCACAAGTGGGTGACACTGGCTTAATGCTGTTAATGTTTCTAAAAGTTTCTACATTTAGATGATATATATACCTGATTCATATTAAAATACCTCTAATAAGCACTGTTTTCTAGAAACTCTGACTTCAGTGAATATTTCTGTATTTTACATGGGCCAGTTTATATCCTGCTATTTAGACTATGATTTGCTATAGCCACATATACTTTGTACCTTTGGTAGTTTTGTTTTACCAAGCTTACACCTTGATGGTAGATTCTATTTGGTTTTGGGTGTTTTTCCTGTTTGAGCATTTGTATACAGAAACTGGCCCAAGTAAATACTTTCCGTGTTTTTTCTTCAAATGTTTAAACCACTAGTTGATGTATGGTGTTTCTCTTTAGATATTTGCCTGTCTGTTTGCTCAACTTTGCTTCTAAAACAATAAAGATTCTTTTATTTCTTAAGGAAATTTTGCTCACATTTTTTCCCGTTGTTCGAAGTCAAGATTTAATATGCCACATAATGGCAGCTTCTTTCCAAAGGCAAAACTTGAGAAATGTTTCGACTGAATTATTTCCAAAATGTTCTGTGTATTAATAATATCTGGAGCAGTGTTCCCATACATAGGTCTGGACTGATGCTAAGCTGGCTATGGAATAAGAATCACCTGGAAAGTGTGTTATAACAATAAAGATTTCAGGCTCTGTCCCTAAAGGATTTAACTCAGTGGGTCTGCGATGAAATGTGTGTGTGTGCGTGTGTGTGCGTGTGTGTGTGTGTGTGTGTGTGTGTGCGTGTGTGTATATGTAAGCAAACTTCCCTGTTGAAGCTGATGATATCTAGCCACTTAGGAATCCGTGATCTAGAATATTTATTTCATAGTAAAAGCTTCAGAGTGTCTCTTTTTTCATGTATTTTTCTCAACTCCAAAGATGACGCTGATATTTAATATCTGTACATAGTGGTCTTACATTGTAGTCATGCAAATCAAGCTATTGCTCTGAAGCAGAGGAGGATGGAGGATTGTATGCTGTCTGTGAGATCACCCTGAAATGCTTGAACCTTTCAATTTCCAGATCATTTATTTCTCAGTCTCCTTAGTATATCACATAAGAAAACGTACCCACTTAGCTGGTAACTTTCCTCTGTATTACCCAGTTCGGCCATGTAAGTGCCAGGTAGTCATCAAGACTCTTAACTCGGCCCTTAGCTACTACGTGACTTTGACCAAGTTGCTTAACTTTGGGGGGGGTCTCAGTGTCTTCATCTAGGAAATGGGGACATTAACACCCTCTTACTCTTAAATTTCTCTGAGGAATAGTTTCCATTTCAGAGAAGATAAATTTATGTTTGAGTATTTTTAGAAGGAATTTGGTAAGAAACTATTATGTATCAAGAACATGCTTTATTTTCAGTGTGAAATGTATCATCTTAAGTTTCCTGCATTCCAGGAGAAATCCCTTTTTTTTAAGGTTTTTGCCCTAGGGCATGTGTGCTCACCAGAGACAGATAGTAAGAGGTAAAATAAGAAATCACCCCCTGGGGAGGATAGCCATGTTACAGTCCCTTCTCCATTCTCTTCCTGGGATTTTGGGCATGCATGCACACATGCCTAGCATGATTTTCAAGCTACCAGGTCCAGGACTTGAACCATCATTGGCCATGTGGGAGTCCAGCACTTTAACCACTATGTGATCCACTGGCTCCAAGAGGAATTATAAAACTCAGATTAAAACAATTTTTTTTTCTTTTCATGATGGGGTGTGATAGTATACTTGATGGGGAGGGAGAGAGTGAACAAGAACAGCACTATCTACAGGGTCTGGTCACGCTGCAGTTCCTTTTCTCCAGTTGTCCGGCCTGTAACATCCTGGGCATGTATCCTCATCATACTTTAGGCTGACCAGGCTGCGGATTTGAACTGCGGACACCATTGGGATCTGGTGTCTCTTGAATAACACGTGACCACTGCATTACAGAGCTGGCCCATAAACTCAAATATTTTTAATAATATGGCATTTCATCTGTTTAGGTAGTAATTTTAAATTTTCTTGGGCTCGTCTGTCTGTCTGTCTCTTACTCCTCTCCTTTTCTTTTACCCTGTTAGTTTTCTGCATTGATAATTGCTATATCTTTGAAACTTGTGTAGACACATACATTATAGTAGTTTTAAGTATCTTTTCAGATTTCAACCTGAGTATAGATCTAAAAGGAATATAATAAATAAGATGACTTATAAGCCTATGATTTTTAATATTGATTCTCCCAAAGAGAAATTTTTTCTCCACTGGTTTTTAAGAGTTTTATATTTTGTTATAAATGTATATCTCAGCTTTTTAACTCTTAGTTTAGATATTGTGTGTAAAAACATTTGTGAAATAACAGAAAATTGAATATTGACAGTATCTTTTTCCTTGAACTTTATTTTTATTTATTTTTATTTATTTATTTTAAATGGACCAGAGACAGACACAGAGAGAGACAGAGAGACAGAGAGCAAGCCACCAGGTCCGGGACTTGAAAAGCAATTGGTCATGTGGGACTCCAGTGCCCTTAACCACCACACTTACCTGCTGGCCCCAGACATTATTTTTTAATCCATATGAAATTTCGTTGGTCATGAAATTTTTAAAGAGATTTGTTTCTGTGTCTATAAAACTTTCCAATAAACACATTTTTCCTTTCCCTATAAATACCTTTAATATGACTTTTAAAAGAATTATTTATTTAATTTCATTTATTATCATTCTTTAAGAGATTTTTACTATAGGTGCATGTGTTCACCAGAGAAATAGAAAGTGAAAAATCACCCCCCAGGAGAAATGACCATGTGACAGTCCCTTGTCTTCCATTCTCCTTTCAGGATTTTGGGCACACACACGCATGTGGCCAGTGTGAGTTTTAAGCTGCCAGATCTGGGACTCAAGCCATGGTTGACTACATGGGAATCCAGTGGCATAAACCTTAAGCCATCTGCTGGTCCCATAATTATTATTTTTTATTCTGACCAGAGAGGGAAAGTGAGAAAGCAAGCCACCAGGTCTGAGACTCGAACCACAGTCAGTCATGTGGGAGTCCAGTATCTTAACCATCATGCCACCTGCTGGTTCCTCTTTAATATGATATTAAAGTTACATTTGGCAAATAGATCAGGTCAAAATGATTCGTTGAATGAGAATTTCTTTTCTTCAGGATATGATCTCAGTGAAGTTATTGTTTTACCAAGATTTCTTTTCAGTGCCTGTCTAAAGGATTTTTAAAGGTTGAATTCATAAAATCAATAGTTATTATAAATTAATATTTCGTATAGTAATTGAGAGCATTTTAAGTAAGTGACAGAATCTGGAAAGATCTTTGTATTAGCAGAATTGCCTCTCTGATCTACTCTGGGTATATTTGTCTTACATGAAAGCCTTATTGGTAGTATTTATGAAAGTTGTTTCAGTAGTAGGTCCAATGCCCAATTTGGGAGAAGACTTAGAATCTATAGCCAGAATAAGAAATTAATTAATCCATCAATGAATTTTATTTTTTTTTAGAGAGAGGTTTTTGCTATAGGGCACATGTGCTTGCTGAAGAGAAAGAGACAGAAAGCAAGAAATCACCTCCTTGGGGATGACCACATGGCAATCTCTTCTTCATTTTCCTCTTGGTATTTGGGGCGTGCACACACACACTGGCCACAATTTTAAGCTGCTGGGGCATCCAATGACGTTACCATTACGCCATCTGCTGGTCCCATGAAGTTAAAAAAAAAGTTATATTAAATCCAAGGCATAATACTTTATGGTATGAGTCACCTGACAGTTTATGGGCTGATTGTGGCAATTTGGGAAATTAAAGGGGAGGAGCTAACTGGAGACTTTTAACACCATCTATTCACTATTCACATATGGCAACCTCAGCTCTTTTGATTCTTAACAGAACCAAGAAGCAAATAAAAAAGATCATTGCAATGACAGCCAAGGTACATCCATCTGTACCATTCCTTCCTCCTCTCCAGTCTCAGCAGTTTTCTTTTCCTGGTCAGTGCTTCTGGAATCCCATTCCCTTTGCCTCCTCAGAGACCTTGTGCCTTTCAGCATCTTCAACTTGCCAATTGCTAATGGCTCTTTCTCTTATCCAGTAAACATATTAAAATATCACTCTATAAACATATTGAACTCTCTTCTACCCTGACACTATCCACTATCATTTCTTGTCCCTATGGCTCCCTTCTAACTATGTCCCTATTATTTTTTCTTAATCATTTTAAACTTCATGGAATGAGCATTGTATATTCCCCATCCAGTGATCTTTTTTCTTTTTAGAGTTTTTTGTTTGTTTGTTTTTGTTTTGTTTTGTGTTTTGGTTTTTGTCTTTTTTTGCTATAGGGCGTGTGCACTCGCCAGAAAGACAGAGAGACAGAAAGTGAGAAATCACCCCCCAGGGGGCATGGCCACAACACAGTCCCCTCTCCTCCATTCTCCTCTCGGGATCTTGGGCACACATGCACACGTGCCTGGCGTGAGTTTAAGCCACCAGGTCTGGGACTCATACCGCGGTCGACTACATAGGAGTCCAGCGACACTGCCATTACACCAACTGCTGGTCCCCATCTCATGTTCTTGATGTCCTAATCACTCCACTTCACTCTCTAAATCTCTCTAAGTCGTAGTTCCTACCATTGCTAGATCTATTGGGCCTTTTTCAGGCTTCTCTAATGTTAATATTTTTTATATTCTCCTACTGTAACTCAAATGCTTTCCTTCCATGGCCTCTTCTACCATTTTCTTTCTTTCCTTTTGCTATAGGGTGCGTATGTTTGCCAGAGAGACAGAGACAGAGAGACAGAAAGTGAGAAATCATCTCCCAGGGAACAAGGCCACACCACAATCCCTTCTCCTCCATTCTTCTCTCAGGATTTGGGGCACACATGAACATGCACCTGGTGTGAGTTTCAAGCCACCTAGTGTAGGACTCAAACCACAGTTGGCCATGTGGGAGTCCAGCAACATAACCATAACGCCATCTAATGGTCTCTTTCCCACCATTTTCTACCTGCCTTTTCTACTCCTCTGTCCTACTCCTTTGTCTGTTCCTCAAGTGGATATTTCTGAAGGTTTTTTTGCTTTTGTTTTTTGTCTCTGAATCTCTTTTTATTCAACTTGCCTTCACTGAGAAATATCTTTGTCCATGGTTTTAGCTTTTAACTACCACTTAGATATATTGAATTACTTGATTGGGACACAGGCATCATAAAATGAAGTCTCCCTTTTCCACATTTCCACATACCCTTTTCTCTTCTCCCCAATTCCCCGCATACAAATAACCACAGGGAAAATAAAGCAGAAATGCATATACTCTTCCTCTTGTTTTCCCTATCATGATGAATGGCACCACCATCTACATCAACACCCAGATGTGAAACTGGAAACCATTGTTATCTCCTTCCACACCCCCTACATCTATTCAATCAATTTTG